ATAACTCTTTATACAGAATATGTATATACTACGTGTTGCAAATATTTGAGCACAACATCAACATTATTAGCAATAGTACAAAACAAGTGCATGATTTTTCTGAAATTTATTGAACAAGAAATAAAACGGATAATCCAATATGAACCCATTGGCGCGTGATGGGCAGACATGGGTTGGTCCGGGATATATGGCCTATGCACATCTAGCGGTATCACAAAACAATTAACCCATATCACAGACAAATGTATGATCTCGGCCTCAGAGGAAGATTGCTAGAAGTTGCCACGGATGACACTTGTCAGGATCAGGTGAAGTGTGAACGGAAGTATAACAGATATGGCATGTGCAGATAGAACGCCTCAAAAGGAGATATATGTTGCCTGCCAGATATAGATTGTTCTCAGATAGCAGGTCGCATACACGCAAAGTGGTCCGTATCACAGACAAGTGTAATAAAATTTCTGTCGGCCCGTTTCCTCCCCCACATATTGCATCAAAGACAATGCTAGAGTTCCATTAGATGTATAAAACTCGACTATTTTATGCCAAAGCAAACATTTTGAGACATTGCATGGCTTTCATTGGACAATTGGTATTCAGCAATGTCAGAAAACCAATTACTTTTTCCTTGAAAGTTGGAGTCAAACACATGTACATGTCAAACAGACATGACCTTTCGAACCCCAGAGTCAAAATCATAATCTCAAGTTTCTATGGGGTTTTTTTTCAAGCAAAAGATATTGGGTTTCAATTTAAATAATTTAATTTGTTAATGAAATATTCCATACATGTAAAGGGTTTAATTGTATCACCAGAAATTATTTCTACTTACAAGAATATAAAGAAGTACAAAAGTACAGCGTTCTGCAACATGTATGATGCTGTTCTGTTCCAATGAAAAAGTCACCAACAAAATATAATAAAACATCTTCTGATGTTGCATGGTCATTTTCATTTTGGCCATCTTTTCTTTGGACAAACCCAAAATCAATCTGAAAACCATGTATTTTTACACGTTAAATGTATAAAGCTGACATTAACCCTTTCACCCCTATGTAACTTTAATATAAACTCTACCATGCATTGATCTGGATAGGTCTATTATGGTCTATAGTGGTGAAAGGGTTATGAGAGAGAATTACCTGTATGTATATTCCAGAAGGGTTTATATTTTCATTATCATTAGAGACACAAGGGATTATACATAGGAAAAGCTTGATCCTACATCAACAATTAATAACATCTCAGTTTTTCCCGAATTGCATTTCCTTAAAGGGATAATGGCTTCAAAATTGGAATATAATGTGTATTTTACATTTTCAAATCAACACTTCTTTGTAAAATCTGTAAGTAACATTAGATAAGTAATGGAACAGGAGGTGGAGTGTAAAATATGTAAGTAACATTAGATATATAAGTAATGGAACAGGATGGGGAGTGTAAAATCTGTAAGTAACATTAATTAAGTAATGGAACAGGATAGGGAGTGTAAAATCTGTAAGTAACATTCGATAAGTAACGGAACAGGAGGGGGAGTGTAAAATCTATAAGTATCATTAGATAAGTAATGGAACAGGATTGGGAGTGTAAAATCTGTAAGTAACATTAGATAAGTAATCGAACAGGATAGGGAGTGTAAAATCTGTAAGTAACATTAGATAAGTAATGGAACAGGATGGGGTGTGTAAAATCTGTAAGTAACATTAGATAAGTAACGGAACAGGAGGGGTAGTGTAAAATCTATCAGTAACATTAGATAAGTAATGGAACAGGAGGTGGAGTGTAAAATATGTAAGTAACATTAGATATATAAGTAATGGAACAGGATGGGGAGTGTAAAATCTGTAAGTAACATTAATTAAGTAATGGAACAGGATAGGGAGTGTAAAATCTGTAAGTAACATTCGATAAGTAATGGAACAGGAGGGGGAGTATAAAATCTATAAGTAACACCTAGATTATTAAGTAACAATCAAGGTTTAAATAATTAATCCAGATCCGAGTCATTACCCAGTATCATTAGAAATTAATTAAAGTTTTAGCTCCGATCCTTTCCTTTTTGTAACCTTCATCATGGATATAAAGGTCAGGGACACAGCCTATGGGATAGTTTTTTTTAATTTGCATGCAACCTGCATACCACAGCATAGCTGTGTTGATCGCTTAAAAGCTTGTGTATTGAACTTAAACAGTACTGAATACAGTTCCTCTATTGATGGTGAATAAATAGAAATTAATTCTATAATTACCCCAATCAATTTTACATGCAGGTAAAATGTGTGGATATATAAATTTAGCACACCATCAATAACCATGCTATAACTAAACTATTACGCCACATAAATCAATTATCATCCGCATTTTACTCGCTGTCAATTTTGTCTCCATTTCAAAATTATTTTTATGAAAAGTTATTTGCTTTGGCTACTGATTGGTGGTTGCGGTGACGGAGTGGTTAAGGCGTCTGACTGTCTACAATCACTATATATATATAGCTAGCTTTCCATGCCATCACTGGGTCGCAGGTTTGAGGCCTCTGTGTGGGAAGATGCCAAGTACTGGATGCAGGTCGGTAGTTTTTCTCTAGATCTGTGCGTTCCAGTTTTCCTCCACCACCAAAACCTGCATCCTTAAATTAATGTATAAATCTAGATCTGCCCATACAGGAGTCACCTTTGGTGAAATACTAGCCACTTCCTACTAAGTTGCCCGCGGAGAATTTCTCTTCAGCTCAATCAGTAGAGCATCAGACTGCTAGTTATAAGCAAGAGGTCTTGTGTAATCCCCTGTAGAGGCATTGAAAAGTATAGTTCTTCTGTTACATTGTAAACCAAGATGGGACTTGAGGGACACTGACAAAAAAACTTGGTCCCTTCAACTATTACAAGCATCACTGTTACCCCTGGTAATATAGTCGGGACAAAATTTTAAGGTGAGGGGAAGTATGTGACCTTGTGATTAGGGACCCGATTTGTTTAAGTTTAGTTCCCATAGGTACATGTACCTTTGGAATAGAGGAAAGAACCACCACTTGTTATGTACTGCAGATTTGGCACTAATGAATGTGTACAGGCAATGCCTCTGTTGAACAATGTCCGTTGGGTGTTGCTGGGCCTGCGTGGGCATATAGGAAGATTCGGGAATACACAAAAAAACATGGTAGCTATATATAGACGCCAGGCTCGTGACACAAGCTAGGGTTGCTGGTTAGAGTCGCGTCACGGCACTGTGTTGTATCTTTGAGCAAGATACTTTACTCTGCTTGTTCCAGTCTACTCAGCTGTATATGAGTATGTGGTTGGGCAGTGCTAGAAATGTTGAATGTGTAATGTATGCTAGTTTTTACCTGTATTTGTACCAAATGTGTTACCTGTATTGTGATGTGTAAAGGATTGCATCTTATTATGTGGGTTCATTCATGCGTATATATTCCGCTGGCCGTCGGCCGGTCTCACTCTCGGAGAGCAGACCAGCAACCAGCGAGTCATATTCAGGTGAGCGAGACAATAGAGCTAAACACTCGGTGACGTGAGGAAAACCACCGGACCAGAACGGCAGAGGGTTGACGTCGGCGGGTGGGCACGGGTTGTCGCCAGATACGCCGCAGGGGCGTTTGGGAACGCCAGAGCCTCTGGTTGGATCCTCCTCATGGCACCGAGTGAACATCACTATTATGATGTTAACGCCGGCGCAGAATGTTATTGGGTACCCATATAATAGGTCGCACTATTCCTAAACGTTGTTGTCAATATTGCCTATGCTAATAAATGTTGGAAACGATCAGTTTAGTGTTGAGTATATATTTTGTCACGCTACAGACTCCAAGGATAGAAAACGTACGTCACTTTACGCTAGAACCCGGAAGGACAACGGTGGAGGACTAAGGACGTGAACCGTTACAAATGCTATGTATATATATAGCTGTGAGTGCCAAAATGCCAGGACTGGCTGTATGATCCCCAGGAAGTTGAGAAAAAGATATTGGCTGGCTGCAAAAAGGCCCTATCATAACCACGGATGATAATTTGTGAACTGCTTTGAAATGACCTAGGAACTAGATTGTGATGAAGCAGTATATATAAGAACCTCTTATTATTATTATTATTATTATTAAAGAACTGTACAAAAATGTGTGTATTCATATTTGGTTACTCTGTATCAGACTAGATATCAAGACTGGTAGGATTGTTTTAGGACTCCTGATTGATCCAGTGACATATTAGGTAACTTACCTGGTATATAGTATAATGTAATGATACATGTATATATAGGACTGGAGGTATTTGTCATCTTATTTACACGACAATCTCGTTAGCCATTCACCATATAAACCAATCTGGTTCTAATCCAACCTATAATGTATATTCTGTTAGTGTTAGCGAACTTTATGTCCATAACGCTGTTTATTAGAAATGTTTAAAGTTTATCTTAACTGGAAATTCAATCACTACCTTTGCTCTTCAATGGCATGCATTGAAAAACAACAAAATGTCATTTCTGTGCCAATCCAATCTAACACACCTATTTAATGTATGTGAGTTGATAACAGCTACTGATAAGGGGACGGAATTCGGGGTGTTGACTGTTTTGAAATGGCCCAGTTTTTGGATCATTACCGTCAGTAGCGTTAACAGGTTATGTGTTGTGTACTCGATGCCGTGGGCCTTCTGTCGGTAATGTCAACAGCGCAAGTTTAGATAACACTCCACTTACTAATAGAGTAAAATTACTAGAGCATGACAGCAGTTATCATCAGCATATAATCACAGCAGGGATGTACGTACTACTGTTGTGTGTGGACACGTGCACACCCGTGTACAGAAACCAGTGAGAATGGCCGGTTTCGCTTCAGCAGTCACGTACTTGCATCGGCGATAGCTGTCCAATGACAGTCAATGAGACAAGACACTAAATTTAGGTTGAAAATCGTAAACAGAGCTATCTACACGTATTATTTGGTCCTAACGTCACTGAATAAAACCAAATAGTAAAATGCTTACCTGCAGCAACTGGCAGCAGGAGAACGAACACATATTTTATCCACATTTTCTCTGACTGTCTTTGTTGCATCCGAGCCCCTTGTTGATGAAGCTGAGAGTTAGGCCAACACTTTGTTATTATTCGCTGCGCATGCGTTTCGTCTGCTAAAAAGGCGGGTCTAACTTACAAATTTGATATCGTGATGGAATAATAATTTTCCGGATTATAATTAGAAAAGGCCATACAAAAATCAATAACGCTGGCTGATAAGCCACACGTCGGTTCGACAAATAATGAGAGGTTAGTGTTTTAAATCACAAATAATTGAATATAAATCAACATGTTTTATGACTGAATCAGAATAAAGTCTTGTCATGTGGTAAGCGTCACATGTCAAGCCATGACCCGTCAGTTCTTTTTAATACCATATGATTCTAATGTAACTGTGGCGTAGAACTACATAGTGTACTTTGGTTATAATACACTTTTTAACCGAAGTGTAATTTGACAAAAACGGAATCCGGACTCAAGTTCGATAATTAAACTATGGCAAAGTGTTCATACATATATATATGTAGTCAATCGGATGTAAGGGAAAAGGAGAAAAGCAACAGGTGTTCCGGAGGTGTAAGTGCTTTCTGCGTCATCGGTCACTGCAGCACACACGCAGGCATACACACATAGGGAGATATTAGCCATGTGGCATAGGACTAGTATACGTAGTTAGCGCCTGATTTAAGACAAGGCAGCTCCTGCGAATTTCTCAAAATTGTATTGATTATTGTACACGTTATTTGTATTGATTTTGGTGGCTTATTCTAGCTAGACAATGCGCTATATCAAATGTTGTGGGGGTTTTTTTTATTCGTGTCACATTGTAATAGCAAAAACCCGTGAAGTGTAAACACAACAAAGGACACCATTAAATTAGCATAATAAGAAAACATCGACTTTCAGATCACACAAATAAATAGAGCTTATTAATGAAATCCTGATTGCGACCATAGACCTTTCCAAAGTCTTCACCAACCTACATCTTGGATACTCTGTGTTGTTAAGTTGTTCTATTAGCAGTCGACATCTTCACAGAAAACTGTATATTCAGAGCAAGATCGCAATCTCTGCATATATGCCGCACATGCCTCGATACCTCATCAGGAGTAACTCTCATAGTATAACTAGTCTTCTTGTGCAATGAGCTTTCGGTTTCGACGGGTGCAGGGAGCATAAGTGAGCGCAACCCCTGGAGTATCGAGGATGATGCTTTTAAGCAAGAGTTGGGTACTACAGTTCAATGTTTCGTCAAGTACATGTCTATATATGCTATTTAGTATTCTGAGTTTACCTTAAGTTGGTCGAAACCCTTAAAACATGTGGAATTATCTGAACATCTCAGTGTGGTTCAAATGTAGCTGTAATTTAACAAATTCTCAGGTCCCTGTGTCAAAAAACACTTCAAATTAGTGCATATCCGACATGTTTGTGTAGATAGTGAATCTCAAACAGGGCGGACAAGACGTCTAGTGTGACCTTCCTATAAATAAACAGATTAATCGGTAACCTTCGTGTATTGTTCTCAGCTAGTCTGGTATGTCTATGGGCGCGCGGATGCCTATTTCTATTTTTGAAATATGTAATAAATGTTTGTTTTCACATAATGCAACTAGTTCGATTATTTACTGAAGAGAGAATTTAGTTTGTGTTCTGATTAAAACAAATAGTTATCCATTTTGCGCCGTAATTCCTCAGGGGCTATGCCCCGGCGTAGCTGCATCCTCGACACTCCATGGGTTACGCTCACGTACCCCTGGAATATGTCATAGCAAAATTGAACGCTCATAAGTGTGTGCCACCTCGCTGATGAGACAAGAAGACTAAAGACCAATGAAACAGCTGTCTTTGTGTTTATGCCTTCAGGTTTGCTATGACGCAGAGAGCGGACTAGCTGTCGTCTGGCGGATCTACAGTTTCATCTATATCTTCGTCTGTTCTGTAAAACAACTGACCATTAAACATGGGCGCATGGAGTTTAGGGAACTATTTTATATCGATGTCTTCTCTCGTGTGTATTGTACTAGCTAGAACATGGAATAACTGGCGCATTACCGTTTCTCAGAGCTGTTCTAGAAGTCATTATATCATTCAGTACAACACTCGGCATAGTTCTCCGAATTCAACAGGAAACGATTGCTAAAATGGTATAAATCTTGTCTGCACATTGCTAGGACAAACAACAGCCTTTTTTGTTATCTTTATTCCTCCAAATGAAAATTACAACGCATTGCATATGTCATAAAGAGTTTTATGATACTAGTGCTATTTCTGAACATTAATTTAACATTTCATCTCATTCATTATTTTGGATTTCCTCTTACACACTTTCGCCATTTAATTTCGTTCAGTAACAATTTCATACCTAAAAGCTATTTAATTACATTTGTACAATTTAAGAAAACCTCTATGTGTAAATGTAGCTTCTTTGATACCTAGAGAAATGATTAACTCATGACATACCTTAAAGTCAATTATGTTACGTAATGAGATTAACTGGTCTTACAATTAAGTCTCGGACAAAGGACAGGTTAATTGCCTTACTTGTTCTGGTATTCACCAGTCAGAGTAGAGAGATAAGTGATAGCTGTCAATCAAATTAACTTTATTGTGTTAATTGTCAATGTATCACTGTTCTCCATTTTTGGTAATCAGTTAGGAGCTTGGCATTGGACTGTACGGGTGTGTTTTTGGATACTCCAGAAATCACCCACCGACCTAGAGAAATTTATTCTAATAAATTTATATTTGGACCATACCACATCTCCAGAACTTTTCCTTTTCAAATTAGATAACAACACCCCCTAAAAGTGTTGTTATACATATGTCAAGCATTAAAATATTTCGAGTAATATTTCCTAAGTATTGTAATTCAATTTTTGACCCGGTAGTATAATACCCACTTTGAAGTGTAAGGTATACCTGTCTAGGAAAAAACACAGACTTTTTGTCCTTCTGCCTGTTAGGTCTTCCAATTGGTGCTCTAATTCTTGTACATAGAACAAAATAAAGGTCAGGGTTATGTTGTCGGTTGTAAGACGTAGTCACTGTCACCTTCAGTTGACCCCTGCCCAGTACTTGGTGGACGACTGACCTTGACGCCTTTATCTAGATTGTCATGACGGCACCAATACGTCAGTGCACCAGGCCGCGGTAAACGTATAATATGTCATATTGTAAAATGTACCAATCCTTTTTCTCAAAATTACTAGTATTTTTACACCCTTTTCCGTACATTAACAGCAACAATAGTTTACCTTAATTACCGGGAACCTTCCCCAAGCAGAATAAGTAGCAACATTCTGCTTGAAGCAATGATTACAAAGGGATGACGGTGTATATATTGAAAGCAACGTCGTTAAAACACATCCGCAATTTGATAACGTACTTTAAAGTAGGACGTAAGTTAGTAAACCCATTGAAAACACGCGCTAGCTGTATAACGTGCCTGAAAGCGTTCTTTGAAGTAAGTCTTAAAGGTTAATAACGTCGCTAAAGACACGCCGTCAGCTTTATAACGTACTCTACGGCTATGCTTAAAACAGATCAAAAGCGGAACGTGATGAAAATATTTTATTTCAAAGGATTTATACTTTCATTATCAGTCTATCGCAAATCACAATAGGAGAAGACCCTGTTGATTAGTAGGAATATCAAACGATCATCATTTAATCGCTACGATCAACCATAACGACAGGTTTCTTTTTAGTACCACTGTTTAACTAGAAACGCTGACCAGTACCCGTTACAGATGCTGTGACCGTTACCCGTTACAGATGCTGTGACCATTACCCCTTACATACGCTGTGGCCGGTACTCATTACAGATGCTGTGACCGTTACCCGTTACAGATGCTGTGACCAATACCCCTTACATACGCTGTGGCCGGTACTCATTACAGATGCTGTAACTGGTATCCCTTACAGACGCTGTGGCCGGTACTCATTACAGATGCTGTGACCGGTACCCCTTACAGACGCTGTAACCGGTACCCCTTACAGACGCTGTGACCGGTACCCCTTACAGACGCTGTGACCGGTACCCCTTACAGACGCTGTGACCGGTACCCCTTACAGACGCTGT